ATCTTGAGCTGTTTGTTTTACTAGATTTTGCTATTTTTTTTTCCTGTGCTTTCTTTAGAAATTACCATATTCAGGGGCTAATGCAGTGTTTTTAAAACTGAATTAAAAAGAAAAGACTCAGAAATGGATGCACTGTGCACTTGGACTGTGCTGGTGGCCAGGGCGGAATGCTGCTTCCGTTTGGAGCGTCACAGTTTCCACGTGAATCACCGGTTAGGAAGACAAGCCATGCGAGGGAGCATGTCCTCTGCGAGGATGTTTCGGGGACTGGGAATTGTGTCCCTGGTCTAGGAGTTTTATTACAGTCACTGTGGCCTCGGTTTGAGTCACTCCTTTCAACAGAAGAGTGTGCTGTTCCCCCGCAGCTGGGAACTGTAAGATTTAAATAAAATTGTATCAACCTTATTAAAATATGTGAGGACTTGGGTCTTCTCGGGTACAAATCACTTTAAAGACTTAGAAACATTTATTAACAGTGAGGCTGCTGAAGGTTTTTAATAATAAAATTACAAATACCCTATCTAATTGTAAGTATATGACTTTTACACTGGGTTTTCAAGGGGAAAAATACTTTTTTATGAGGAGAAGTAACTCAGTCAGAGCACCTTCTGTGATTAGCCCTATTGTATTCTTAAATTTTGATTGATAGAGATAATAGTTTTCACTTAAAAATACAGACAGGTACTTTAACTTTCCATGACAATAGCTATTTGCATTTCTTCTATCTTTTTGTTTAATGTGTGGGGGTTGGGATGGATTTGATTATTAACTCTTATTGCACACTGAAGGTAAATTTAAAACAAAGGCTTTGTTCGCGCTTCAAAGAGAAAACAGCAAATATTGTTTTTAGGTTTCAACATTTAAAGGCTGTTAAAGGATACTATAAAATATTTTCACATGGCCGTGCTCAGGGTTTTACATTCTGTACGGAAAGAGAGTGCTTTTTCTGAATGAAGTGTGGGCCAGTGTGGACTTGCTGGGGCTGCCAGCCCAGAGATCACCGGGAGCCTCCTCCAGGACTGCCCACACCACGTGGCTTACGTGTGGGGCTTGAGGGTTTCCTTGCCAGTGGACCCCGAAGCTAGGTCCTGCGGTTTGGCGAGGGTCCCCGAGGGTGAGGAGGAAGGAAGTCTTGTTCTGCGGCGGTGGGAGGGGATGTGGGGAAGGTGGATGCAGAGTGCTAGCTTCCCTGGACAGTGAGAAACCGCGACGCGTCCTCACTGCAGACCATCCAGCCAGGCTCGGTCCACAGTGGCCTCTGGTCCCCGCGCCGGAACCACACGGCTGCCTTGTCCCTTCTTTACTTTCCCGTCTCCTCCCTTCCTTCCTTCTTCTCCTTTCCCCCTGTTTTGTTCTCTCTGTTTCGTCTCCTTTTTCTTTTCTTCCTTCTTTTCTCTTTCCTTCTCTTTCTTTTCCCTTTTTTTTTTGTTTTTGTTTTTGTTTGTAAACCTGACTCAAAATGTGGCCAATTTTTAAGTCAATAGAAGAGGAGGAAACACACGCTGGGGTTGATTTCTGAGCGGATTGTCTCGTGAGTGCAGAAAATGAGGTTACGCTTGTATCAGATTTTTAGCTAGCCGATTTGTGTTGGTGTGCTCCTGCTTGTCCAGGAGATCTTCGATGAGACAGTAAAGCCCACGAGCCAAGACTCACTGAAGAGAATTTCCAGTTGCTTGGAAATTGGCCCATGTAGATCTGTTTCTCTAACGAAGGATATGGCATTTGATTGGAGTGTTTGGAAGTACGGGAAGTTTGAACCATGTTTCTGGACGTCAGGAGAAGGGTCCTCCGGCCAAGCAGGAACTGCTAAGCTGCTGCCTCATCCTGGGCCAGGAGCAGCCGTCACCTCCCTGCATCCCCAGTGACAGGACACACAGTAGCTTCTCAGCCAACATTTGTTGGGCTGAAGTTCGAGACGGCATATGTTGGCCATCCTTTAGTCACTTTTGTGCAGTCGTTAAAATGAAATATAATTCAGAAACCCTGATGCAAATCATTCCCTCGAACTGCCATGAGAGAAGGGGGCTGTTTTCTGTGGGAAAATAGAGGATATATTGTTCTTTGCCATCTTGTGAGATGAAATCACACCTCCACATTTACTTGCAACTTGGTTCCAGGTAAGCCACACCAGTTAGCACGGTGTACCATTCACCACACGGATTAAGTGGGGGCCGCTGTACCCATGGGAAGGTGACAGGGACGCACCGTGTAACCTGTCAGGGGTGTAGAGGCCAGCTCTCAGGAGGGGAGGGACTGGCGCTCTCCTGACCTGGGGCACAGCTCCGTGGGTGTCTGCCCCAGGGTCATGTGGCCATGGAACAGCAGGGGAGAGGCCGCACAGGTGACTCGAGTGCCCAGGATCCAAGTGTGGAGAATGATGTGAAGGAAAGAAGTGATTCTATTAACCGTATCCCTGGCTCGCTTTCTTAGTCTAAAACCAACAGGAAACTTAAGAAAAAGGAAAAAAAAAAAAACGCAATTCATATGCTGACTGCATTTTTTTTAGAAGACAAGTGGGCTGGAAAAGAATATTTTTCTTTTATCTTTTTTTTTAACCTGAAAGCTTCACATAATCATATAATTTGAGTTTTAGCGATCACGCTGCCCGTAAGCATTTAGGTAAATGACTGAAAGATTTGATAAGCAAACTGATTGTTTAAAAAATAGCAAGTATAGTTTGGAAACAAGTTTTATACTTTGGAAAAAATGAAATGCAGATTTTCTTCTGGTGGTTGATTTCTTATTCTTCTAGGCCCCATAACTGTGCCCTCTTGTCTGCTATATTGACACATTGCACTTAATTCAGCATGATGTCAATCAGCTGTTGAACTATTAATCTAGTCTCAGCAAAGCCAGAGAAGTATCTTTCAGATGACGTTGCTAACATGTACTAAAAGCTGAAGTCCACAGAAACGCATCACTTTCTGGGCAGGTCCGAGAAGGCGCTAAGATGTGCGGAACTTCCCCAGGAGGGAGAGGTGGCCTGCGGCAGTTTCCACGTGGACATGTAACCGACTTTGTATTGCTTTGGTATTGATAAATCGGGGGATCTGATGTGCAGGCGCCAGCCTCCACCCCACGTCACCGAGCCAAGGCTGCGGGAGCCACAGCGGCTCAGCGGCACCGCCCTGCCGGCCGCACAGGGCGCGCGAGAACTTTGTTCCAAGCAGGCATTTCCAGCAGCTTTTAAAAATTAAATTGTAATAAGGCCAATTGTTTGCCAGGCCTATGTGACAGCAGTCTCATCTGCACCGCAGAGTCTGCATTTACAGATCTGAGCGCCCACCACGCAGAGAAGCTCGATCCCGTCGATAAGCAGGAGGGCCGGCGGGGGAGCTCCGGCAGAGGCAGTGCCCGCGGAAGGGGCGGAAGGGTGGGGACGTGGAGGTCTGTGCGCTGTGCAGGGCTTGCCCGGCTCACCTCCCCTGAGCCTGGGATGGGGGGTGGAGATGGGGTTTGTGAGGTGGGAGATCATCCCTGCACCTCCTAGCTACTGAGCTCTTCTGATTTGTGTGGCCGGGCTGCTCTGCGGACGCGCTCGCTGCCGGGAGGGCCCTTGGGCCCCTGCTCGGCATCCTCCTCACATTTGCCCTCTGGTGGATCCCCACCACTGGAGAGGCCTGTCCTGGGGACTCACACATCAACAGGAAAGTGCAGACTGCCATTTTCTGTTTGAATTGTTTTGTGTAAAAACAAAAGGTTCGGACAGGTTGCAAAATAGTAATTTTAAGTCTCAGAGCTAGGGTTTTCCCCCACCCAAATGGTGAACATTTATGGTGAAAACCTCCAATTTCCTCTTAGAGTAAACATGAAAATTATGATTTCACCCAGAGCCTGTATTTCTTTCCAATCTTCATGGCAAGAATCTGCATACACTTGCTTGTGGGAATGTCATAAGTTGGCCTTGGATCAATCCCTCAAAGAGAGCACACAGCAAAGCCCCACTCTCAGAATTTTAGCCCCCGTGGAGTAGGATTTAACTCTTGTCAGTGAGGTTTGCCTTGCACCGTAAGGGCCCGCAGCAGAGGGATGAGCAGGAATACAGTCTGTATGAAATTTAAACCATGTTATTACATGTTGTTCTGAAGAGTGAGTAGTAGGATATTAACATTTCAGTAAAATGATATAATTTCACCATCTTAAAAAAATCATAAGAGCATTTGGTTAATGGATGTGGAATGAATCCTGTACCCTGTTGCTAACTTGATCTAAATTAGTAAAGAAATGTTGTTCTTTGCCCTGGTGCCTCATGTTGGCCCAGTTCCATGGGCAGAGAGGGGCAGCCTGTGCCGTCCTCAGAGGGTGGTGTGCTGTTCTGCCCGCGTAAGGGCGTGGACCGAGGAGTGACGTGCGAGGAAGTGTCATCCTTCCTTTATCCTGGCAACTCGATTTCAATTGTGTGGTTCATCTGACACGAACCATTTTAATTTGACTTAGTTCATCTAATCTGGTAGATGTGCTAAATGGAAAACATTCTAAGAACAGCTTTCAGTAGCTGATCAGCCCTTCCCTCCCCGACTGAACACCGCGACACTCTCATTCATTCCGAAAGGCCCAGGGTGGCCACCGCCTCTTGTCTGCAATAACCACCTCCTCCGAAAAGGGAGAAGAGGAAGCCCCTGCTCTAATGAAATCAGAGGGTGATGTTCACCAAACAGACCACTCAAATAGCAGTCTGGTTTCCAAAAACAAAGACCTATGACTCATGTATTATTCCACATGAAAATAAATTGATAGACGGCAAGACAAGAAAAAGTTCATACGCAGAATTTGAACTGTTTCACCTCCACTTTTTCCATCAGGGTTGTTTTGTTGTCTTGAAGAGGCGTACGGTCCAGAAAAGTGGAGGTCTTTGGGCTTGTTTTTATTAACTCTGAAAGTCACTTGCCATCAAATATAATCTAGTCCTTTCGTTCTGCTTTCTTTTCCTCTCCCAGGAAAAAGAGGTGGTTCCCACTTTCTCTTGACATTCAGATTGTGATGTTCTCTTTTGTTTCCAGGGTGAGAAGTGACCTTCTGAGGTGACTGTGACTGAAGATCGTTTAGCAGAAGCCAGAACAGGTAAACACAGATACTGTCAGCGGGGCAGGTGCGGGGCGGCACCTGGGTTCAGGTGTCTTCTGGTCTCGTGCTTCCCAGAGTGTGTGTGTGTTTGTGTAAGTGGGTATGTGGCGCATTTTGGAAGGTCTTTAAAGAAAAGATTGCCCTTAAGAAATGGTCCATAGAGTCACATTTCCCCCCAAATATCAAACATTTCCCCTCTGTTGACGCTGAACTTTCGGGGGGTATGTTGAATGGTAGGTTGGAAGTTAGACAGGCAGTCACAGTACAAAAGTGGTGATTTCGTAGAAAGAATATGCCGGAACGAGTGACGCAAGTGTGTGTTCCGAGCTGAAGCCGTGTCATCCGACTGATGTTCATGGAGCAGTTTCAGAATCACTTCTTTCAGAAATTAGTCACCTGGCGCCACAGCAACATGCCACATGGATGCCACTGCCGAACGGTGTGGGGCTGCCCTGTGATGTCAGTGCCTTGTCCCTTAACCTTGTGTAAAAATCAGACAAGTGCTTGATTTTAAAATTAGAAGTTTTCTGAGAGACTAATGTTGCTTGATTAATCAAAGCTAAATGAATTTTCTCATTCACATTTGGGAGGTTGGACAAGGAGCACTCCGGTGAAATGGCTTGTGCGTGCGCATTTTCTATCCCTAAAGTGTGCATTTCATCTCCTACCAGTGGGTCTCGCGTCATTTTAACATCTTAGGTTCCTCAGGTAGTGTCTTCCCTGTGTTTCTGAACCTGGGCCAGAGCTGTGTGCCCTCGGCAGCACGGACGCGGTCTGTCCTCAGCAGGTTGCCCCGGCTGGCCGCCCCGAGCCTGTGCCCCGCTCTCGCTGCTCCGGGTCCCTGGGTCTGTGAGGTACAGGCTCCTGGCTCCCCTTGAGCAGTTTTCTCGTGGAACCTTTGAAAGGCGAAGACTCTTATGTCACTTTGTCTTCACCTCACCCAGATTTGGGGGTTCTAGAACATATCACAAGGGTAATGATTTGTTTCCTTACTTGCGTTTCGGCACATTTGATCCGGGCCAAAAAGTCAGCTTGCCGCCTCTCACCATCTTTGTAGTTTGAATTAACCCGTTGGTCCTTCGAGGACGGTCTCTTTTGGATGGTCCAGCCTGGAAAGGGGGGATCCCAGCCAGCGGTTTGGGCTGTCAGCTCAGAGCATGGCTTCTGCAGAGCATTCCCTGTGCTGAGACTCAGTCTTCTCTTGGTAAGAAGGAAAAGCTTCGTCTTTTCTCGGAACCCTCGGTTTGTCTGGAAGGGCGCACAGTGATGTTCCTGTGTTGCGGGCCGTGCTCCTCTGCTCAGCTCCTCAGAGTGTGTCCTCGTCTCTGGAACCGGTGCGGTCTCAGCCCAGGGTTCTCCTGCAAACCGTGCTGCGTGCTTAACCCAGCGTGCTGTTAGCAAAGTTTTCTGATGAAGCTACAAATTATGATCAAGCAAAGCTGAAGATCAGCTGGAGAGAGAGTTGTATCTGTTCAAGCAGGACGTCCTCAGGAGGCTCTCACTGTTTGCTCTGGAGTCTCCGGTGAGCATGAATGATTTTCTTCCGACTCGATGTTTTTACAACGTCCACACTTATACCCATGGTCAGAAAATGGACGTAATCAAATTTGTGCAATGTGATTTTGCCAAATTTTGTAATATTGCTCAAAGTTACAAATATCATGAGTCGGGTGAGTTTGATTAAAACAAAAGTTTCTAAAATTTGTCATTAGTGTGGACTAAGAGAGAAAAAAATACTTTCTTTTAAAATATATTATTTTTCAGTTATAATTGACATTCAATGTTATATTACCAAAACATGATTTCTTCATAATTACTGTCAAGAACATAGTTGCATTATGTAATATCCTGAACATAAGGAACCCCTTTTTATTTATTTATTTAAAATTTACCCTTATTGTTAAAAGTGTTACAGATGTCCCTCCCCTTTTCATTCATTGCTTCCTCCCCTTGTCTGTGTCCGTGGGCTGTGTGTATGTGTGTGCGAGCTCTTTGGTTGGCCCCACCCCCCAATCTGAGGGTTCATTTGGTTCTCTGCTTCCACGTCTCAGGATCTATTTGTTGCTCAAGGAACCCTTTTTAAATTCCAGGTACATTTTTCTTCTGATGCCTCCTCTTGTGACACAAAGAAGCTAAATAACAACATCACAACATTTTTATGTTGACTTGACTGCTAGGAAGCTCAGAGTAAGAGTTTGTACTCAATCTTGGTAGGTTTTTCAACTTCAATTTTTTTGTTGTTGTTACAACTTTTTGTTGTTGATGTATTTTAAAATAAACTTGATTTTTTTTCCCAACCCCCAGTTAACATTTTATTATTTAATTCTTTTTGTTTTCTGCTACAATATCAATTCCATCTGTGTTTTGACTCTAATTTAAAAATTTTTTTAGAAATAAGTTAAGGTATTTGGATTCAAATAAGTAATAAATAACATGAAATTTTTTTACCTTGTAACAAGCTCAATGATCCTTTAAAACTAATCCTCATGCCCTGGCCGGTTTGACTCAGTGGTTAGAGCATCCGCCTGCAGTCCAAAGAGAGCCAAGTTCGGTTCCCACTAAGGGCATGTGCTTTGGTTGCAGTTTGTCCCCGGCCCTGGTTGGGTCGTGCGGGTGGCAACCACTCGATGTGTCCCTTTCACGTCAATGTTTCCCTCTCTCTTCCTCCCACTCTATCTGAACAAAAAATGGAAAAATGCCCTCGGGTGAGGATGAAAAAACAAACAAACAAACAAACAAAACTAATCCTCATATATCTTGAGCTCTTATATATAAAGGAAAAAAAGGTTTGTTAAAAATATAAAATCTAGGAACAGATTTTTAAAGTGGATAGAACGGTTAGTGTTTCTTCCCAGTGAATAAACCTTAAAGAAAAACAAGTTTGTTCTGCCCAGTGGTGGGTAAGAAACCAGCACTACCCTCCACACTACGAGAAGGATGCAGATTGTAGATGCCAGGAGCTCTTAGTAAATGCCATGCCCAGATTTGAAATCTGGGAATCATTAGCTGTCAGCATAGATGCAAATAAATCTGCCTGCGTTGGCATTATGGAACAACTGGCTATGTGCAGAAGGTGGTCAGGCAAACAGAAAACCAGATGAAGCCATTTTTCAAATTTAGTTACAAAGGTCTGAAGAATCATAAATAACAGTCATCATACTTGGTAGTGGTATTAACAATTTTTTTCCAAGTAGATCTGAGCATTTTATAAAACGGTTCTGGTTGCTAGCATTCCTGAGAGGTAGCTGGCAATTATTATAATCCCCACTTTACAAACGGGGGTAGTTTAGATGGTTAGGAACTTACCCAAGGTCATCTAGAATGTCAAGACTGGAGGTAAAGAGACAGCTCGCTCTGGTCACAATTATATAGATGTCATTCTATCATGGTTGCTTTGGTTTGGTGATTTAATACGGTTTGTGTATCAGTTTCTCCCTACCACCCCCGCCCCCAATTGGTAATTCACCCACATACATTTTGCTTCAAATTCAAATATAATTTGTAAAATTCATCATCTTGTATTCAATTCTGAATGGCATTGGGAATCGAGGACAATAGATCATACGGATTATAATAAATGGTTATTTTAAAACACCAGCATCTTCAAACTTCACATTGCATCTGGTGGTTCGTTTTTTTAATAGTCACCTTATTTGAGAGAAAGTTCAACAATCTAAAAGAATTTGTAACCATTGCAATTTTCCCCCACCCTCAATCTGAGCTATTTTTTGTTGTTGTTGTTAGATCAAGGAGTTATAATTCATTCTTATAGACTCTACTCATTGTGTCTTACATATTGCAAATTATTTCTTGGTTACAAAAAGCAAAAATTGACTATTCAGCCATTTAAAATGTATTCATTGATTCTTTGGAGAGTGTATATGTATGTGATGTAAATATTTACATAATGAAAATATTCTGAGTTAAATCCATTCAAAGTGACCTCTTTGTAACATTCAGCATTTGAATGACGTGCCTATTAATTCATGAAGTTGCTATGAAGACACGGGGGGAGGGTCTCATTGAACAGAAACCACCAGTCAGTCTGTTCGTTAAGCCCTGAAGCCCTCCGGCTTCCCCCAGACCCACAGCCACACACAGACACAACGTGCCTGCGCTGCCACAGTCAGCGTGCAGACTAGGCTGTTGTAGCATAGAGATCTAAACATGCAATGACAGATACAATACAAGTTTACTTATCTCTCACATAACAACTCAGCCAGCATCGTGGGCGGGGCAGGTTCTCTCCCTCTTGTGCCCTCCTACTTTGGGATTTGCCCTTATCTACATAGTTGAAGCAGTGACGTCTAAGCAAGTGATTTTTTTTGAAGCGAATGAGTTAAAAATTGCACACACTATTTCCATTGACATTTGATTGGTAAGAGCATGCTCATATGATCACAAGAAGCTGCAGTGGCTGCTGGGAAAATGTCTCTATGTGGGTGACCACAAGTGTGGGAGGATTGGAGAACAGACTTCAGGGGACAGTTAGTACACATCAACTTGATTAGTTGACTTGCCCCAATCCAATAATTTTATTCATTCATTCATTCATACATTCATACAGATGTACATACTACATGCATACAGATGTTAGTTTCTACTGCAGATACTTCATGATGATGTGTGTCAGGTGCTGTGATCATAGTACTGTGTAGAAAGGACACCATCTCTGTCCTCAGCCCTCAGAGGGCTTACACTGCAGAGGAAGACGGGCACTGAAGGATGAGGACATGTGTTAGGAAGGCAGATAGTGGTTGCTCTGAGAATGTGTTCTATAACAGGGAGACCAGGGGTCAGGGATTTATGTAATATAGTATTAAATGGAAACTATGTTGGATTAACTTGATTTTCTTGTATCTTTCATGTCAGTATTGTGAATTTTATCAGCCATGGCACGTTTTTGGTAATAGCTTTATTGAGATATAATTCACACACAGTACATTCGTTCATTGAAAGGGCACTGCTCAGTGTGTTTGTATAGTCGCAGCAATCATCACAATCCAGTGTCAAAACATTTGTCACCCCAGAAAGAGGCCCATGCCCGTTGGGTCGCTGCCCTCCCCAGCCACTGGCAACAGTGTCTACTTTCTAACTGTATCAGGCGCCGGCCAAGCCCGCTCACAACATCCAGTCGAGTGTTGTGTGTGTTTTGTGACACTTCTTTCACTTAGCAGAGTGTGTTCACGGTCCATCCAAACTTTTCCATTTTTAACTGTCCTGCAACCTCAGAATTGTACGAGTTCTCAGTACTAAATGGAACAAAGTGGCCTGAATGAAAAGCTCTCACAAGAGATGGAATTGGGGGGAAATTACTGTTTTCATGTTGTTTATATTTCCACAGAGCTGACTTGACCTGTCAGCAGTTATGCTTTAGAATTTGAAAGTTAGCTGTTTTTAAACATTGTCGACCATAATGCTAAACTAAGTCACTCCGTAAACAAGAGCTGTTTTCTGAATGTTTGTTTCAAAGAAAAAAATGTAATATTGATTTCCAGGGAAATATGCTCACTAGCTTTCGTTTCAAGCAAAAGACGCTTGCTGAAATGTGCATGAAGACATACTTCGTAGCCAGGACAATATTTGCAGCCGTTATCCAGGGGCTGTGTTTTACACAGTTGAACAATCAAAAATACAAAACCAAATAACAAATGGTTTCATTCACTTTTTCACGATGATATTTTTGCTCTTCTGTCTGTTAAGGGCACACATGTCCCAGCTGCATAAGATTCACCTTGAGCATCTTGTCAAGAAGTTCCCAGCTCAGGTGACAGTGTAGCAGCGTAACAGAGATGCAGGAACGGTTGTCCTTTTTTGGTAACTAAGAAACCTCGGGGAGAAATGCGAAGCTTAGCTGTGCAACAACAGCCCCTGCTTAGGGGAGGTCATCGTGTAGCCTTGACTGCGCACCCTTGTATCCAGTGACCTCCAGAACTTTGAAAGACCAGATAACATGGATGGTACAGCCTTTATTTTTAGGCCATTTTAAGAGCTGATACTTTCTGCCCAGGGCTGAGTTTGGATTTGAAGTTCATGGAGCTTTTTCAAAGATTATTGGTGAGTGAGATTTTGTAGAAATGGAAAACGCAGATCAATCGTTTGTACCTCATCCCAAATGTAAACTGTTGCACCCCATGGCCTTTGCCTTGGGTGGGGGGAGGAAGGAGAAGAGAAGGGGGAACTTGACGGATTTCTGCTCAATTCAGATACACTCTTTCTGAAGTGTGAAAACTGTGCAGATTTTCCCTTGAATTTTTATATTAGCATGTATGTAGTATATAATTTTAGGTAATTAGATGTTTTGTTAATTATCTGGCAGTGCAGTGAGTTATTTAAAAGTACCTTTTAATTAAAAGCAGACTTGCATCATTGGCTGCACTGTGATGACTTCAGTCAGCGGATGGTCATGGATTTTTAATTCCTTGCCCTGCCCATCAAGCCTCTTTTCTTGGGAAGTCTGTTTCCCTAAAGGGTCCTGAGCAGGCCCTGGAGGCCCGAGGAAGTGCCCTAAAGTCATTCATTACAGATTGCACGCTTCGAGTTCACTAAGGACAGTGATTTTCAAAGTGGGCATGGGGACCCAGTTGTAGGTTAGAAACTTAATTTAGTGGATTGTGCACAATCATTTTTAAAACAATTGAATAAACACGCAATAAAGTATAGTAGGCCTAACCGTCAACATGGAAACCACCGGACACGAGTGGCCATGAGCACTGGACACTTAGCCAGAGCTTCTATGTGCTGTGAGTTTAAAGTCTACAAAGTGTTTCAAAGGCTTCATATGGAAAAAAGAATGTGAGATATTTGAATAATTCTTTATTGATTATACATTGGATTGACTATATTTTGCATATATTGGGTTAAGTAAAATAAATTAAAATTTATTTCAGCTGTTTCTGTTTACTTTTAACCGTGTGGTTAAAATTATGTATGTGGCAAGCATTGTGTTTCTATGAGACAGCTTGCTCAGATGATGAGTGACAGGTACAAGCCCCCTGGGCTCAAGCTCTGTGGGGCAGGGCACTGGGAGGGTGGAATGCGTACCTGTGAGCTGATAGGTGCTGTGGAGGAAAGGGAGGAGCCACAGAGGTTGAGCTGCAGGAGGGAAGGGGCTGCCCCTGCAAACAGTCAGTGATGCACAGGCCTTTGAACAAGGACTTGGCGTATTGTAAGGAGAGCAGATTGGCCATTGTGGCCAAAGCAGT